AAAAAAAAAAAAAAAAAAAAAAAAAAAAAAAAAAAAAAAAAAAAAAAAAAAAAAAAAAAACTATGTTGCACGCAAACTCTGTGCACATAGTTCCTTTTAGAATAAACACGTCCACTTGGATTCTTTACTTTGGGTACTTTGAGTTTGGCAAACATCTATCTGTCTAGGGGGAAACTCATGAACATGAATTCGCACAGAAAAAACTACAGCGTGATTGAAGCGTAAAACACATGTCGCATATCACGACACAGGTGTTTTCGCTAGGCTGAGCTTCACACGAAAGTGCAGTTGAGCATAACTGGAAGAAAAGCTAAATGCACGCTCTAATTTTCAACTGACATTCTCGCAAATTTTGCCTGTAATTAGACTGTTTTAATTTACCTGCTTCTTCAGAATATTTTGGACTCATTTTTGCTATAAAAAAAAAAAAAAAAAAAAAAAAAAAAAAAACTATGTTGCACGCAAACTCTGTGCACATAGTTCCTTTTAGAATAAACACGTCCACTTGGATTCTTTACTTTGGGTACTTTGAGTTTGGCAAGTAGGAACCGAATGCGTTTGTTTATATCTATATTTGCACTTACGGAAATGTTAATGGCAGATATAAGTCATTTCCAAAACCTTGAAGCTGGTCCCATTCTGAAAAATTTGTTGCAGGTACGTAATCTAGAATTAAGAATGTTGAAAAAATGTAAAATAATAATTGAATGATTCACAACAGAATAATGATTTATTCAGAACGCTTACTTTACATAATTTTTTCCCTAACCTGAAATGTGTATAGAACAAGCAAATCTTGATTCGGAACATAATTTCTCATTCCTATAATGGTGAACGGATTTCACCCGGAACACTATTACCGTGCTCTCTCGAAATAATGCAGGTACCAAGGCAGTTTCGAGTTTGCTCTGGCATATTTGTGAGTTAAATTGTCTTTTCTCCGATTCATGTACCCTTGTTTCTCTTTTAAATTTCCGTTACTATAAAAACCAGGATTCATGGACTTAAGCCTAGACTTACAGAGGTTTGAGAATTTTTACTCGCGAAAAAAACCTCATCATCCGTGCTAAATTTGCTACAATTTTTCAAAACTTTGTCCAGCAAATTTAACTCAAAAATATGATTATGTAATTGGACGACCTTAACCAAAATCAACTTAATTTTGAGGTGCTTATTTTCCTGTCTTAATTGCCGATACAAAAAATGCAACGAAAATATTGAAATAATATTACGATTTAATTCAAAACATTTTGAGATTTCAATATTTCAACATCATTTGGGCAATCAATGCCAATTTTAAGCGATCCATGGATGAAGCTCCTCGATCCCAAAGGTCATGTTGCCAAAGATCGGCAACTTCAAACTTATTTCAATTGAATTGCAATAAAGTCCAATTAAAGGAGCCCCTTCAGTTAGTGAATAGGCAACATACATAACACTCCGATGCAGAAGCAAGAATTTTACCATGTAACCTCATTTTATTGCAACCTTTGCTTCGCTATCCCTAGGTGTCTGATGATTGTGATGCAGATGAGCATTCTAAAAAATCCTCGAACAGTATAGGAATACAATTTTAAGGCAGCTCATTGTTTAAAAAAATGAAACACGAGAAGAAATGAGAAATCAGTTAGGCTGCTCCTGGTTAATACCGTCCAATTACTTGGCCACACACTTAATTTTGCGGCTGCTTTGAGAGTAAGTCTGCGTCTAATTTTTCGATGGGATAGTTTACTGGCTTGGAAGATAAGCCAAAACTCATTTTTAAGGTTTAGGTTGTTATGGATTATCTTATGGAGTTCTCTGGTCGTCCGGTCTTCTGGTGGGGTCGTTATCGCCCGGTCTTCTGGTGGGATCATCAGCGGCTGGTGCTTTGGTGGGATCATCAGCGGCTGGTGTTTTGGTGGGATCATCAGCGGCTGGTGTTTTGGTGGGATCATCAGCGGCTGGTGTTTTGGTGGGATCATCAGCGGCTGGTGTTTTGGTGGGATCATTGACTGGTATTTTGGTGGGATCTCCTGAATTTGAAGCTCCCTCTACATTTGGTTTTCCTGTGCCATCATCTACTGGTTTATCGGTGCGATTATCAGCTGGTTTAGCGTTGCGATCATCTGCTGGCTTCTGGCCATCATCCCTCAGAGGTCCTCTATTAGGAGTCTTATCTGAATCGTCAGCAGGGGTCGGTGGTCTGAGCGGCTGTGGTCTTGGCTGCGGGTTCGACTCCGGTTTCGGCTCTGGTATCGGCTGCGGTTTTGGCTGCGGGGTCGGCTCTTTGGGTTTGGAGAGGACTTCGGTGTTGAAGTTCTGGGCGCAGTAGGAGAGTGGTCTCTCGGCGGAAGGGAAGAGGCTCGGCCAGACTCTGACGACACAGACGAACTTGTTATTACCCTCCTGAGCGCAGCGGGCGCCGAAGTAACGGCCACAATCGTCAGGGCGTCGGGCGTCCGACGCGAAGAGGTACTGCGCGGCCGCCTGGCACTTGCGCTGCTCGCGGACGTTCTTGGGGTTGAGTGGGCCCATCCAGACGTACGGCTCGAAGTCGGCGCAGATGTTCCGGTCGATGTTCTCTTTCACGGCCGGCGGCACCGGGTTCTGCTGCGCGACCCCCGTTCGCCGGAATCGACCGAACCCGAAAAACATTCGCCTCTCCAGGTTTTGACTGACGCCTTCATCCTCGCCCTGAGAAGCGTTCGATAAAAATTAGTGATTAGCAGCAGTGCACTGAAACAAAACAGATTGGTAGAATTTACCATTCCTTCACGCCGTATTTCACACAGCGTGGAAGAATGGTAAATTCTACCAATCTTCGAGTCGATTCTGCCAGAGGAATGGTTACTTGTACCAGTGTATAGCTACGTTTACCTTTCTTCTGACAGAATTGACTCTAAATTTGACGCCGTGTGAAATACAGCGTGAAGAAACGGAAAATTCTACCAATCTTTTTTTCAGCGTGATTTGGCAGTTTCCAGGATTTGGGCGTATTTCTGCTAAACAGGACTATGTGTGGGTGGGAAATACGAGGTGTGTAATTTAGTTCTCGGGCCGCAAGAGTGAATGGCAATCATAAAACGCCAGTGACGTCAGCGGTGATAATGGGAGCAATCCGAGGAGCTACGCGGTTTTTAACTCATGAGCCCTGTCCACAAGGCCCTTGAGTCATGCCCACGGCTCATGAGTCCTGCATACAGTTGGCACATAGTTTCGTTTGGTCAATTTTAAATCCCGCTTTTCGAATTCTTCAAAAAGAATCAAGCCCACTTTTACATTGTTTCTGAATCAGCTCACCACGAGCACACCTTATCTCCCCCACCCGCACATAGTTCTGTTTGGTGAAAATACGTCCATTTGATGTTCTCCAGAGGGAGTGAGGTTGCAAAATCGACTGGAATATTTACATGTTCCTCAGAGATTAGACTGTATTTGAGGATTTTTTCGATTGAAAAGGGCGTATGAGACTTCCAATGCTTTTAAGATCGCGCAATGTACTTCTTTAACCTATATAAAAGCTGTGCCATGCATTTTTCACCAAATATCTGCTCCGAATTTGTTCTCTTTATTGTGTGAAAGTAAGGCGACTATGAGTGAAGTTCATTTGCTGCAAATGTAAAGGACAGTTGTACAATATCAGCAACATTGCAAGCCTTATACGCCCTATTACCCGAAGAATTCCGTAATTTCTGTTCTAACTTTTGCTGAGTTTCGCGTTTAATCAGAGGACAAATCAGTGACATTGTTGGTCAGAAATGCCCAACAGTCTTGCTATTATTAAAATACAATTACCGAGTAGGCATTTCACAACTTTGAGTTATATTTACGTCCTTTTGTTTGAGAAACGATGTATTACAGAGAGTGGAAATTACGAACCTAGTAAAGTATCATAGTTCCGTTTGGTTTAACATTTTTAGGCGTTTTTTGGTACCAAAATGTGCGCGCAACATTCTTCCACACGATGTTATTAATACCTACTTCATATTTGAATTTTTAATCCTTACTATAGGTATTGTCAGCGATGCATGGTAACATTTTGTGGCCTCCGAGTGCAAAAAAAACGTAACTTCATTTCGTAACGTCGCGAAATTTCGACTGGAAAATTTTATTATTGCCACGAAACCGTGGGACATTTCTTATTGAAAATTTCAATGAATTTTCTTCTGATTGCGTGATAAAAATATGAACATTTTCGACAGAAATTTCAGTTGTTATTCCCGTAAAAAATTTAAGTGCTCGAGCAAATTTTGTAACATTGGATTGAAGTTACGTCCTCTCATCTCAAAAAAGACGTCATGATGTAGAAAATCGAGGAATGAATTCCATAGAGGATGCCTCCTAATTTTACCTCGACCATAATATTTCCCTTATCCCCAGATTTTTATTTCGCAAATTAAAATACTGCCACTTGCTGAGGTAACTTCCAACTTAATGGTACCCTCATACCAACAAACACTCTATCTCAAGCTGTCATCGGAAACTAAACACGATGTATCAAAATCTACACTTGTGTGCAGGATCCAGCTAGGCTTCATTACCGTGCCTTTATTATTCAGTGTCGAAAGAAAGTCCTCAGCCGGCCACGGTCCTGGACTCTAATGTCCTGTCATTAAAACTGATACGCTTTTTGTTTCTTTGTACCATATTTAAAATGATTCTTTAACTTTTTAATGTCACTCACCGAGGCACGTAAAATTAGGAACAATAAAAGGGCCCACACTAACTCCAACTGCTTCAAATCGGCAATCACCATCCCACTAATTGGTGTTTCAGAACACTTGGAAAAAAAATCAACAAAGTAGGAGGTATCGGTATAAGTACATGCAACTTCCCAGGTCACGAATAAACGCAGAATCTCTGCAGAATTATCACGTTTTATACCTGCCGAGAGAACAATTCATTGCCTTAGCTGGTGTTCTGAACACGCAGTCTTTTTGCACGCGTACCTACATTGTTACAAAATTTTGCTCAGAAAACGACAATCAGGATAAAGGCGAAATCACTGGAATACACTAATACTGCTAATAGTAAAAAACGGCTATACATCATAGTGTTTTAATTTAAATTTAGACGGAATAAAGCCCGTAAAAAGAAAGAGTGAAAAAGGAGAACTGTCCCGAGGGCTGCTCAGTGCGTGAAATCACTCATTTGCGCAAAACTGACTTTTAAAGGCTGCAAAATTCCTCTTTCGGCCTTTTTTTTGAGTACCTTAACGACGTTTTCTTCACTTTTTAAGTCAAAACTCTCTCACAGAATATATAATAACTATGTTTCAGATCAATTTTAATTTGCGAATGCATGCACCTCCAGAATACCTCAGGAAAAATACTGAAATCGATTGACCCCTACGTAGATAGAAGAATAATAAAGGCTTGGTGGAGATAAAATCCTAAATGCAAATGTATAAAAAATAAAATAAACAAGTTCAACAGCGTAAAGTAATACAGTATCCCGACGAAATGAAAGAAAGCCATTCATCACAATGAATCGGAAAATGCGCTTTTAATTAGGTATATAATTTTGGATTAATTTTTTATGAACAAGGATCAAGAATTGACTTAAATCTGTGAAAACGATTCTATGTGGCACTGATTTCAACAAATCTGGTAGGTCGGCTCAGAATTCGCGTTTTTTGCAAGCATGCAGAACATAATTTGACACCGGTGTCCTTGTTAGAATTCGCTGTTTTTGATTGTCAGGTCGAGGTCATTTGCTTCATCTGTTTTTGACGTGCACGAGACTATGCATTTACTGTGATGAATTCAGATTTCGATTTTCAATTTTCTCCAGAATTCGAGAGACTGGTTACGTCAAAAGCGATCGAAGTGGTCTACCGTGCTGTCATCGATGAATCACCGTAAAAATGACAAATCGAACATGAAAATTTTGGCACTGAAAACGATGAAATGCTATGATAGCAGCCTAAGCTGTTAAAAGTGTATTTGAAGATCCCTAGATGCCGGGAATTGTTTACGATTGCAACGTTACACGCCACTTTTCATGTCTTATTTTATTCAAGGTTTTTTTTTAAGAATATATGTACAGCTTTTTCAAGAGTTTCAGGGGATTTTTCATAATGTTCTCAAATAAAACCATCAAAAATTTTGACGCGATATTTTCATTCCTTTTTTTCTTTTTATTAAACCCAAATTAATTTTACGTGGTTCAAGTTTCTGAATCGGTGCAATAACGACACATATTTTCCCTTTCATCAATCGTAAAACCCGGGCGAAGAATCAGAAGCACCTAACTGATTTCAAGCAAGATTGAAGAAAATTACGCCCCGAAATTTTCGTTCTTTCTATTTTTTTTAGGTATTATTTTCATTTAAAAAAGAAAATGAATAAAATAAAATAATAAATAAATAAATAAATAAATATGGTCTGAATCTCTGAACTCCTGCATTTAATATCAGAAGTAGGCCGGCTCCTCGAAACGACTAGGGAAAATTATATTTTCACCGGAAAACATACATGACAATAAACTCTCTACAATCTTGTGATCCTAGGATCGCAAGCTCGCGCCTCGCGGTAGCACTGCTGTGTGCACTGGAGTGGAAACATGTGTGGAAATTGTATGCACCGGGGTATAGGTGTGACACGAAGAAAATACGACTTTGCAACGGCTTAAGCGCACCCCGTAGCGTAGTATATGCGCAATGCATGAAGTATCCTACAGACTTGTAAGGCGCTGTACTGAGCACGCAATGCATGAAGTATCCTGCGGTCCTGTAAGGCGCTACAATGCGTCTCGCGCCGTGCGAGCTAGCCCCGCGTCGCACTGTGTTTGGTGCGATTATTGGAACTTGGGTCAGCGGTTATCAACTTATGATTTTGAATTTGTTGTAAAGTTTGCTGGAATTACTGTCATTTCAATGATAATACATTACATAAAACCCAACTATTTTCCTTCGCCTCATCTACTTATTATTATAAATAATTTGGAATAAAAGCATGCGAAGCGACTTTCAGGCTCCCTCGTTGCTCAGCAATGTAATGGCGTGATCATTTGGACTACATTTTGATATTCGGAACTATAATTTCTGGCTCATCTGTAAAAACTCTTGTGTGCATATGGGAACTAACGGTGCACACGCTGTTCCCGAACGAAGTCGGAAATTGTAGTTCCTAATTGCAAAACGAAGTTAATTTGATCAATGATCCCTTTCGAAGCGTGGGGTATGGATTCGAGCAAGCGGAGGGTATAGATTTGATCGAAATGAATCGATCAAATCGACTCAGGTTTGTTGATGATTTTTCGGTTGAATTGGTGTCGATCAGTTCACAGCCATCGGTAAAGTGGTGATAATCTCATTCTACAATTGTTTCCCTAATCAATTACATACATATGTGGTTTTTTAGAGTTAGTTTATTTATAATCTTGAATTATTGAAAAATAAATAAAAGGCAAATTTTACCCAAAAACTTTTCTTCTGGGCACGCCAATGCAGCACTATTATTGTTGCAATTTACAACTTGTTTACTTATATCCCTGTTTAAAGAAATGAAAATTGGAGAAAATGTTGACTTAAGGGTGGTTCGGTTATAAATAAAAGCAGCAAGTCCGTGAATAATTGAATCTTTTCTTTAATGGTCTTTTTGGCTCTTATTTTAAAATAATTAACGGTAATTTAACAAAACTAAGAAAATTTACAACTCGGAACGATTCATCCGAAGGTAAAACAAAAAAACTCATATCAAACTGCCCGAAAGTCGAGGATAATTTTAAACCTCCTCCTCGACGGCAATTTGTTGACGAGTCACTTTTTCGTGCGTATTTATCTCAAATTAAATTTACAGCCTAAACAATAAATTAGTCAACAATTCACGATATAGGTACCTACAGCATGCCTTAAGGAAGAGCGTAGGTAACGGTAACAATTGGGACGAAAGGTAGAATTGAGGTTCACCTAATAAGGGAATGCTTCATTAAAGGACTCCGTCATTTTCAGATGAGCGGATGATGTTGGACAAAAAACGTGGTATATTACAATCTCAAAGCGTCGTTGAAAGGGTTGAGCACTCATGATTGGTTTTCTCCTATGATCCACTCCTCAAGGAGAAGCGTCGATTGCTACAAGTGGCAATTGCATCTTTAAATTATTGCAATTTTATTGAGGGTGGTTATATAATGGGCAGAAATTACAATACGGTTGCTCTAATCGGGATTTTTAGTTGTGGTTGCATGTGGTCTATCCTCTCGTTTCAAGGCGCTGCAGACGCTAGATAGAGTTACATTTTCAGGAGTAGTTGCAACCTCTCTGTTCTGGGTGTAAGTAACAAGTAACTCGTAAGGCCATGTTAGCTAATTAGACAAAAATTCCAATTTTACAACAACACCATGCCACTAACTTAACACTCTATTTTAATTTCTCCTTTGCTGTATTCTACTCTGAATCAGTGGCGTTCTTTACACGTAAGTCAAGGAAGCACAGCTTTTCCAAGAATATTCGTGAGTGAATACTCACTGCATATTTATATGATTCAATATAAAAATATACAAAATTGAGTAAGAAAAAAGAACTAGTTTCAAGATCGTTAGGTTTAGGTCTGAAATAATTTACAGCAATATTAGGATTACAGAATTTGTTGGCAAGATAAGGACCTTTTTGGATACATACATGTTATTATTGCAGCAAGGATGATGCTTTTTTGCCTACCTCAAAAATCGAAGGTGAATTAGAAAAATGCATGGCCTCCATTACCTTCTCTTTTTTTTTTAACACCGCATTAATTTTCAGTGAGAGAAACACCACTGTAAGGCATCGAGCTGATCTCATGAGATATTTGTACCTGTTGGGTGGTAGTGCTTGAAGTATATTGCAGTTCTTGCAATCACGTCAGTCTTCCCAGAAGTTAGAAAACAACTAGGGGGAAAAATAGCTGATGTCTTAATTGCCTTGAATAGTGCTTGAAGTATATTGCAGTTCTTGCAATCACGTCAGTCTTCCCAGAAGTTAGAAAACAACTAGGGGGAAAAATAGCTCATGTCTTAATTGCCTTGAATATTCATTAATCCGTTCAATTTTCTGGACGACACACTTCACGAGCCAATATTGACATTGCGCATGCGGTCTTGAAAGAACATTGAACACTCTAATGGCCCAGGATCAAACATTTTCCATTTTCTAATGAAAAGTTTCCGTTGTTTCAGTCTTTTCAACACAATCACTTTACCACTTTGTCTCAGTTTATCGCCATTTGTTCCCCATTAAAATTGCCGAAAACTAGCGTCAATAAAAAAAAAAACCATTTTATCTGAATAAAGTTCAATATACGTATGTCGACGGTAAGACTACCAGACCACGTATCTTGGTTTGCGATGTTGTAGTCTACCTCTTATATTTTATTTTTTAAGTAGGGAACTACTCAACGCCAATTCTTGAAAACTTCTGTGTTTTCACTCTCTATGGAAAGAAAATTCTGTACAAATTTCAAGAAATGATATTGATGTGTTCACCTTCAAACAAATTAAATAGGAGCGGAGATTCTTAAATACCGCGAAACGAGATACGTGGTTTGGTAGTTTAACCGTCAATATGCGTTTTTTTGGTAAATTGTTGGTACTTAGAAAGAGGCTGTGGATGAGGATTGTCTCCTGATGGTAAATGATCTCGAGCTTATGGAGCTTGAAATAAAACAGATCGGCTACCTGAATACTATGGCTCACAGCAACCTTTCAAATCTAAAATCCAGGACTTTTCAGGGAATTCTAATCGATAAAGTGAAGAACTTCAAATCACTTCACAAGTACTTTCGAAAGAATTTTCATCAGTCCTCAAGGACTCAAAGGAAAATATTCAAAGTCAGTAACATGCTTTAAAAAACAAAGTTCTC